TCCATCACTGGAGATTTTAAAGAAGAGACTGGACAGTCACTTCTCTGAGATGGTATAGGGTCTCCTGCTCGAGCGAGGGGCTGGACTAGAAGACCTCCAAGGTCCCTTCCAGCTCTATTCTGATTGAATAGCTTGCCTTCAGAAATCGTGGGCGCTCCATCACTGGAGGTTTTTAAGAAGAGACTGGACAGTCACTTGTCTGAGATGGTGTAAGTTCTCCTGCTTGACTGGGGGGCTGGACTAGAAGACCTCTAAGGTCCCTTACAGCCCTAGGATTCTATAAGGCAGGAGGGAGGGAGGGAGGGAGGGAGGAAGGAAGGAAAGGTTGGAATAGATGACCTCCAAGGTCCCTTCTCAGTCTGTGATTCTATGATTCTGTAAGGATCTCCTGCTCGAGCAGGGGGATGGACTAGGAGACCTCCAAGGTCTCTTCCAACTCTTGTCATTCTGTGATTCCTTAAGGGTCTCCTGTTTGAGCAGGGGGTTGGACTAGATGACCTCCAAGGTCCCTTCCAGCTCTATTCTATTCTATTCTATTCTATTCATATTCCATTCATATTCTATTCTATTCTATTCCATTCATATTCTATTCTATTCTATTCTATTCTATTCTATTCTATTCTATTCTATTCCATTCCATATCTATTCTATTCTATTCCATATTTTCTATTCCATTCCATTCCATATTTTCTATTCTATTCTATTCTATTCTATTCTATTCTATTCCATATTTTCTATTCCATTCCATTCCATATTTTCTATTCTATTCTATTCTATTCTATTCTATTCTATTCTATTCTATTCTATTCTATTCTATTCTATTCTACTCTACTCTACTCTACTCTACTCTATTCTTCATTCCATTCCATTCCATTCCATTCCATTCCATTCCACTCCACTCCATTCTATTCTGGATTAAATAACTCTTAAGGAGAAGGGTAGTTGAGAAATGTGGAAAATAATGAATGAACGGAAGCGAAGGGAATGAATTTCCCTCTAGCGAACTGTGGCATCTGAACCTAGACAAAAAGTCTCGCAAGGTTTTCTCAGAAAACAAGGAGAGTAACAGAGCCACCCAGGGTGCCCATTTGCTTTTAAAGAACCACCTGACTCTAAACTAAAATATCCCTACTGGAACATCTCTACAAAAGGGGGGTTGATAACTCTGGAGTACTTATTAAGATTTTTTTTTTTTTTTTAGCTTTGAATTTAATGTTTAAATACAAGGTTTGTCCAATGTAGCATGTTGGCGTGACCTAACTGTCTGGAAAACGCATCTGGATCATGAGTCAAAATAAAAGAACGTTCTGGATGTATCAAAAGGGCAAAGGCATTTGGAGATTTGCTAAGCTGCAACTCACTTGCTTGGCAAGGAAGAAAAAAAGGTGCATTTTTACCATGCATTTGGCCGTAGATTATTCTTGCAGCTAACAAATTTCATCCCATCCATCTTACCACAAAAGATATAGATCCATGTTTCCAATCAATGGGATTCCTGTACAATTTATGAGGATTACATATAAGCAGTGGAACAGCAGCTGGCTCTGTGCACGTCCTTCACTAAAATTAAAACCCAAGAAGCTGCTTTTCAGCCATTAATTCCAGCTACTAACTTAAGTGCATTTACTATTATTATAGTAAAGTAACACCATCTTTTTCAAATTGCCATCCAAAGAGTGGCCAGCCCCAGCTCTGCTTCGCTTTCTGAATTCAAACTCAACCAGGTGCTGCCCTCTAGCTGATCACAAATATTATTTTATTTAGGCTAAATGTTGAATAGAAATGTAAAACGATATTTAAAAAAACCCAGCTGAATGTTTAAATAAATAAAGATTATCTCTACCCCAATAGTAAAAAAAAGACAAAATGACTTCGATCCAAAGATTATATAATTGGATTTATTAAATTGAACTCTTAAAGATTGAACGTATGTTTGAATAGGGTTAAAAAGAAGAGAAAAATTCTGGATATAAATGTACATTAATCTAAGAGGGATGTGTATTTTAAGTAGTATACTATCTTTTTATTTCTTTTTTTTCTGTTTTTTCCCCTTTTTTTAAGATATGAGAAACGTAAAAATACTTAAGTGTAATGAAAATTTTAACCAGTAAGAATGTTTCGAATATTGTCAGGGAAACAAACTTAAATAAGAATTCTAAACAGGATCTATGATAAGGCAATCAAGATGATCACTTAGAAAAGAAGCTTTATATCAATGTGGTTATTATTTGCTGAAATATTAGAAAAATGTCCATAGTTAATTGTTATTTATCTAAATAATAAGAATTGTATTAATTCAAGGATGGCAAAAGAGAACATTTTTGGAAGAAGAGAACATCAAGCAAAGCTATTATTATGTGGACTATAGAATTATAGAAACTAATTGTTATTGTTTTTATTTCAAGTGGATTTTATCACCAAGTGAAAACTATCTTTCAACCCTGCAGGACTGATGGGATCGCTTGCTTCCATTTCTTTAGCGAACTGATTTTGAACAGCAACAACAAAAAAGAATTGTCTGAAATGGTATACGGTTTCCTGCCTGAGCAGGGGGTTAGACTAGATGACCTCCAAGGTCCCTTCCAACTTTTATTGTTGTTGTTGTTGTTATAATTTCCAGCTGAGGATAACCTCTCTTTTTTTCCAAAATGTTCAACTTTCAAGAAACAACACAGGGGATTCAGCTTGTTTTTTTCCCCTCCATCTCAAATATCAGAATCTAAAACAAAAATATTATCTAATGTTATCAAGTCACAGTCCAATGTTGTGTGGGGTCCTTGAAATTAATTTCTACTGATCTCATATAATTCATATGTTATCATAGGATACGGTTTGTACAATAGAATAACGCAGGGTTTTTTCTGTCTTTATCTGCAAACCCGATGACTATAAAAACCAATTGACTTGCCCATTTTGCTCACAAGGCTTGTCAGTATTTTAAACTCTCAATTTATGTTTCCTGGAAAACTCAGGGGAGATTTGCTATTTTTAGTTTGCAGAACTACAGGTTCCCTTCACATTAATATTTGTGATATAGTGAGTTTGCAATATTTAAAGAACAGCACAACTGATTTTTGTAACAGACCTTAATGAAAAACTTGTGTTTTCACCAAATGAGATGGACACATACCTAAACAAAAATTTAGGCAATAGCAAATTTAGAAATTGTCTAGAAAAGAGGGTTTTTTTCCTCCCATTTCAAATACTGGTCATTTTAGGTTATCCCACTTAGAAATACTTTGTAATGATGTCAGCAGAGTAATACCCAGTATGAAGAAAACAGCGCCCCCTAATGGGCACAGACAAATATGTGCCCTGAATTTAAAGATATTCACCTGGGAGACATACAGTTTAATGGCCACTCGTTTAGTGACTGCTCAAAGTTATGTCTGGCTGAACAAGGGTGACTCATGACAGGTCCTCGTAATTAATAGAAGAACAGAAGAGCAGAGTTCAAAGGGACCTTGGAGGTCTTCTAGTCCAACCCCCTGCTCAAGCACGAGGCCCTTTGCTATAGTTTGGACACCACAGTTTAACGATGTCATGGTAGTAGATGCTCTGTATACATTTAGCCCAGGGGTAGGCAACCTTGGCTCTTTTATGAATTCCCAGAATTCCTGAGCCAGCCATGCTGAGGGGAAAGAGAGAGGTTTCCAGTTGAACCATGCTGGCTCAGGAATTCTGGGAGTTGAAGTCCACCAGTCATAAAAGAGCCAAGGTTGCCTACCTTTGATTTAAGCTTTATACTTTGCAATATTCTACACTGGGAAGGAAAGTTGAGTATCTCTGCTCACACACGCAGGGAAGACAAATGTGTGTGAACAAGGCTTCCGTTTTAATCCAAGCTTCCTTGACTGCTTCACACATCTTGTTCAAGAACGGCCCAGCTTGGCACAAAGTGTGAAATTGGAAACCCAAATGACTCTCTTGCAGCCACTGAGCAAGAAAGTACATCCTTGGGTTGTTTATAAACAAAAGTGTTTTTTTAAAATGTAATTTTTAACATGGAACATTAATAATCAAAAGCAGACACTATGGAAAAAAGCCTTCGCAGGTAGATAATTTTGCAAGCAACGAGCTAATTTTATGACACGTAAAAATATACCCGACATAGTTCGAAGGGTAAAATCTGCAAAAGGAAAACTGTCTCTTTATTATGGTCAATGACCGGTCAACGTGACAAACAGAATAAAAGGCACCAGACAACCAAGAGAACAAATAAAATACACAGTACATTAGCAAACGAGAGAAGATGAGGACGTCATGAGCTATTAAAGATGTACCACCTGGTCTATAATCAAGTCAAGCTGTGGTAAACATTGCCATAAAACAGAAGAAAATAAAATGTGGCTTATAATGGGGAACACATTTAAACACACTTGTGCAACCACAGAAAAAATAAACCTCTCTTTGGGTGTTACAAAGGCAACAAAGCTGGAGAATGGACAAATACAGCAGTGTTGGTCAACCTCAATATATTTTAAGAGATGTGGACTGCAACTCCCAGAATTCTCCAGCCAGCCAAGAATTAGCAAGGGGTCCTTGCTACTCTCTGAGCTTGCTTCTTGCAGATGTTTCATTACCCAAACTAGGTAACATCATCACTGCTATTAAGGAGTGCTGTTTGCAAATCCCTCTCCTTACTAGCACCGGTGATGTTACCTAGTTAGGTAATGAAATGTCTGCAATAAAACCACCAAACTCAGAGAGCACCAAGGACCCCACAGTCTTCCTCCTCTTCCTCCTCCTCTTCTTCTTCTCCACAAACCCTTCTAGCACTGATGATATTACCTAGTTGGGTCATGAAACGTCTGCAATAAAACCACCAAACTCAGAGAGCACCAAGGACCCCTCATTTCAACCCTGAGCTACAGATATCCTCCTTTATTGGCAAGCATTAATAAAAATTAATAAAATTAATAAACAGCCTAATAAGAAAATACAGCGACTTCAATTTCAGGACACCCTAATATTCATTAGAAGCATCGGCTTCAACTCACCCATGTTTTCTTCTCTTGAAAATCAATGTTCATTTTTTTAGTCTTCTCCAAAGCAGCCTCCAGTTTATTTTTGAGGTCAATGGCTTGTCTGAGCCGATCATCGCTTATCCCAGCCCTGGTGAATAACTACAAATTGCAAAATCGGTTAGTTCCTCTGAGAAGACCCACACAAACCAACTTCTTAACTTAATAAAAACTGCTTACCTGAATCCAAGACTGCACCAATGGCAAAAATTTATTTGTTATGAGCTTAAAACTATCCGAAAGGTTATTTATGATGGCTGCATTGTCTTCATTCTCACTCAGTTTCACATCTGGCAGGAATAAAGGAAGTCAACAGATCAAATTTCTCTCTCAGGATTCTTGTGTATTTTTCTCTCTCTGTGTGTATATACATAGACATATAATGTGCATATACTGCATATACACAACGTATACACACAGAGAGAAACACAGAGAGCAGTGATAAATTCAGTAAAAAATCAGTAACAGTAATAGAGTTAGAGGTCATCTAATCCAATCGCCTGGTTTTGCAGGTGACCTATACTATTTCTGATAGATGGCTGCCCAGTCTCTTCTTAAAGGCCTCCAGTGTTGGGGCACCCACAATTTCTGAAAGCAATTTGTTCCACTGGTTAATTCTTCCCACTGTTAGGAAGCTTCTCCTTAATTCTAGGTTGTTTCTCTCGTTGGTTTCAATATTTTCAAGAATAACGGTTCAACATTATTCTTGAAAATAATGTCCCTGCTTGAGGGTTTGGCCACCTATTACTTATGTGGGTTACTCTATTGTGGTGAAAACGGCAATATTCAACGCCTCCCGTGAAAAAGCCTTGGAAAATACCCTTGCTTGAAAGAATCCCGAAAACTGGGGGACCGAATGAGAGAAAAAGTGGAGCTGGAAGGGACCTTGGAGGTCTTCTAGTCCAACCCCGTTCAAGCAACTTCCCAAAAACAAACGGGGCCCAGGTACCTGAAGATACTTCCAGACTGAGCGCATATTTGTAAGAGCCGAGTCCGTGGCTGCGAAGAAATAGGGCTGGATCATCATCTTCCATCAGGCCAAGAGAAGCGGATCCAGGATGGAAGGAATCTCCCAGTCCTTGGTCCTTCTCCGTTTCCCTGTCGGAGTCTTCTGCCACCAGAGAAATGTGGGGGAGGTCCTTGCTACAACAAGGTTGCTGACTGTGATCCATGGAGGCTCCTGGCTGGTTTGCTACCTGCGCCGAGGAACAGGTGCCGTTTGTCTCCGCTTCCCTTCTCCTCCAATCAGGGATTTCGGCACCATTGAAGGTGAAGTCCAAAGGATCCGGAACCAGCAGCTGGAAACAGCTGTCCAGCTGGGTCAGCACAGACTGCATCTCTTCAGACGTATCTGTCGAGTAAATTCAGAACATTTGGGGCAGGTTGGCACTCAAGCCAGCTCGTCTCCTCAAGAGGACTAGCTCCCCTATGTAAACGCTGCAAAAAAATCTGGTATACAGTAGCTTATCCTCCAGTTACAGCCCAACACTTCTGTTACTAAACGAGATGTTTGTGAAGGGAGTTTTGCCCCATTTTTACGACATTTCTTGCCACAGAAGTTAAAGGTGAATCCCCCAATTGTTAAGTTAGTAACACGGTTGTTAAGTGAATCCAGCTTCCCTACTGACTTTGCTTCTAAGGAGGTCGTAAAAAGAGGATCACGTGATCCCGGGATGATGCTGCAATTGTCATAAATATGAGTCAGTTGCCAAGTGCCTGAATTTTGATCACGTGACCATAGGGTGCTGCGACGGTCATTAAGTGGGAAACACGCTCCTAAGTCCCTTTTTTCCGTGCTTTTGTAACTTCAAACAGTCAGTAAACAAGCTGTTGTAAATTGGGGACTGCCTGTATTGGCACAAGTTTAGAAGATTTTTTAGACCTTGATCAACTCAATTTTCTTATCCTTCCCTGTGATAATTCTATTTCACCCCAAGCTGTCTAACACAGATCCTTACAGATTCCTGATCTATGAACAGATCACCCTTTTCAGCAGTGGCCATGTGGAAGCACGCCTAGGGGTAACGCCCATAAACACGAGAGAAAAATGTGGGGGCGTCATCCAGAAATATAATGGGGAGAAATATATCACACACACACACACACCATCTCTCACCTTTCATTTCCTTTTCTGCTTTTTGGGCTTTATCCTTGTAAATATTATCCAATCGTTTCTGCCTCTCTTCAGCTCGCTTCCTTTCTGCTAGAGTTCTGGCATGTACATCTTGAAAATCTACCTAAAAAGGAACAGGAGAAAATTAAGCCCCATATAATACAACAGGCACATTCTAAGCAGGTTAAAATTTGGGTTCAGTTCCATGCTGGTTATTTATAAAATGTTAATGTTGCTGGTGAATGGTCTTGTCTGATGTGCAGCATTTTCTTGGTGCTGAACATCGGTCAGTAGAAGATTCTTTTCCCATATTTTTTCAGTCATCCCTCTCCCCTTGAGAGAGACCACGGAAGCTGTTCTCAGGAAGTTTATAGAAGCTGCACAAAAACGGATAAATTCACCTAAACATCTAAGGAACAGTTGCTGGAATTGGGTATGTCTAGTTTAATGAAGAGAAGGACAAGGGATGACAGGATAGCAGTATTCCAATATCTCCTAAAGAAGAGGGAGTCAAGCTATTCTCCAAAGCGCCTGAAGGCAGGACAAGAAGCAACGGATGGAAACTCATCAAGGAGAGAAGCAACCTAGAACTAAGGAGAAACTTCCTGACAGTGAGAACAATTAACCAATGGAACAACCTGCCTCCAGAAGCGGTGACTGCTCCAACACTGGAGGTTTTTAAGAAGAGACTGGACAGTCATTTGTCCGAAATGGTGTAGGGTTTCCTGCATGAGCAGGGGGTTGGACTAGAAGACCTCCAAGGTCCCTTCCAATTTTACTATTACTACTACTACTACTACTACTACTACTACTACTACTACTACTACTACTACTACTATTTATTTATTTATATTATCTGCCCAACTCCAGTGGATTCTGGGTGGTGCACCAAACTCAAATATTATGATAGGTAATATTTTCATCTTAATCTTTTAACCTTAATCTTTAATCTTAATAAAATATTTACCAATAGTCATAGGCGCCTTGGGTGCATACCCAAACAACTGGAACACCACTTGAACACCCTCGGCGATGGCAAAAATCACCACCAGTCAATTGCAAAAGGCAGCTTTACCCAAAATGGCTGATATATATATATATATATATATATATATATATATATATATATATAATTTCTATATTATCATAATCAATATGTTATTTAGTCGCTCCATAGTCGTCTTCTTACTAGTATGTATTCAATGTTACATAGTACATATCATGTTCCTTTCTCTCTAACTAGTTTTTCTAGCCAGTTTTCTAGTTTTTCTCGTTTTGCTAAATATTAAGAATGTTATTTTATAAAAATGCTAATCCTATAAAAATTAATCGTATGTCTGGGGACCTCAACTCCCAGAATTCCCCAGCCAGCACAGCTGGCTGGGGAATTCTGGGAGTTGAAGTTCCCACATCCTAAAGCTGCCCCGGTTGAAAAACAACACCCTGAAGCATCAAACCATAAAAGCGAGTATTCGGATACCTTCTTGTTCTGTTTTAAGAAGTAGTATCCCAGAGAAAGTTTCTTGTAGGCTTCTCCATATTTCTCGTGCCACTCTTGTACAGACTGGATGGCAGCTTTTTTCAGCTTCTGGGCTACCTCTGTTGGCGGAGGGAGAGGCCTATCATAGTTTGTTTCCACCGTCAGCTCCAGGAACTCTTGGAAGTTGGAGACAAGCAACGTCCGGAAGAGATGCGAGCGAGCGAAGAGCTGGTCCACTATCTGGAAGGCGGAAAGACGTATCTCGGCGTGTTCTTGGTTTAACTGGGACATGAGCAGGTGGTAAACGTGGTTGATGTGTTCATCAGAGCACCTGTGGAATGCCAATGGTGAGATAAGCAGGATATTAAATGATACGGCCTCATGGATAAGTACAAGACAGGTAGTTGCTGACTTACGAACATTTAGATTGCTGACTAAAATGGGGACGTCTCTGCATGCAAAAAAAAACAAATTAATTCAAACATTTTTATTCCAGAATATAACTCTCTCCCTCCATCCACTAATTAAAATCTTTCTATTTGTCAAAACCTTTAAGGCTGCCATCTTTGGCACATATAACACAGTTCAAACTTCAGACTGAGCTAGCAATTCAATGCACGTGTTCTACAGTAATGTTTCTCAACCTCGACAACTTTTAAGCAGTGTGGACTTCAAGTACCAGAATCCCCCAGCCAGCAGACTAGCTGGGGAATTTTGGGACTTGAAGTCCACCCTGCTTAAAGTTGCAACATCAACATCTTCTCGGATTGTTTGGATGCCCATCTGCCACATTTTTCTGATCTAAAATCTAACCAGACTCAATTGTGGTTAATTATTTGAGATCAATCAAGATAAGCCCACCCAACTGGGCTACCCACACGTAAGCCAAGCCTACTTAAGATAGTTAAGATTGCTCCCAAATCAATCTTGGATTTCACCTGACCGTATACTTACAAACTGTGCAGTTTCCAAACCCTGTGTAAAAAGCCCAACATAAAAGATACTTTTTAAAGCTCTTTTTTGCAAGGGAAAAAAAAAAGATTTTCAATAACTAAATATTTTAGTGAAGGGACTACACACAGAGGGCTCCTCCTAGCACTAGTTGGGTCATGCAATGTCTGCAAGAAAACGGCCAAGCTCAGAGAGCACCAAGGACCCCACAATTGAACCTGAGCCACAAATACCCTCTTCCACGGCTACCTGCAGATGTTCTTCAGTGCTTTCATCTTCTTTGGATCCAGTTGTGGTTCCCCAGAGGTGGTCAAGTCTTCTACAAGCTGAGCCAGCTGCTGGTCCATTCCTAGGGGGGCAAAAACCATCAAGGCTTATATTGGGTTATGGAAAAGACCCGGGGGGAGGCCTTCTCTCCACCCCACGATGGGACTGCGTGCCACCACAGCTCTGGAGCCTCCACACGCAGCGTGTGGAGAGGGAGGCCTACCCTGTCCAGGTGCTGAGTGCAGCGTGTGGAGAGAGAGGCCTACCCTGTCCAGGTCCTGAACAGGATCCCTGGGAGGCAGAATAACAGAATAGCAGAAAAAGAGAATAACACACAGAAAAGCAAAGTAACAAACAGGATAAGCAACAGAATAACAGAATAACAAAGCAAATAACACAATAACTGAACAATGTGGGGAAAAAGAGAATAACAGAGTAACCAACGGAAGAACAGGAAGAGAATAAGAGGAACACACAACAACATAATAACACAGCAATAGAAAAACAAAACAGAGTAAGAAACCGAATAGCACAACAACGGAAGAACCGAAAAACAGAAAAAAAGAGAATGTCTATGGAGATTCTCCATCGTCCAGGTCCTGGTTGTCCCAAAGATGCTTTTTCGGGAGGCAACTGGACTTTCTTGTTTTTCTTTGAAGACATTTCACTTCTCATTCCAGAAGCTTCTTCAGCTCTGACTGGCTGGTGGAGAACGGAAGGATTTATACTCCTTGCAGACAGCCGGTCCTTTGCCTTCTTTATTTAGAGGGTCTCTGAGGCCACTTGGAGATTTACCTGCGTCCTCAGGAATATAAATCTTTCCATCTCCCCACCATCCAGTCAGACCCGAAGAAGCCTCTTGGATGAGAAGCGAAAAGTCTTCAACAGAAAAACAAGGAAGTCCAGTTGCCTTTTGAAAAAAGCACCTGTGGGAGAAAAAAAACGTGAACAACAGAATAACAAACAGGATAACAGAACAAGCAACAGAGTAACGAAGACAACGACACAACAACAGAGAAAACAGAATAAACACACAGCACCACAAACAGCAGAAAAAGAGAATAAGAGTCACCCACAGAAGAACACAACGACAGAACAATGGAAAAACAGAACAGAGCATGACAAACAGGAGGAGGACAGAGTCACCAACAGAATAATTGCCAGGCTAAACAACAGAACTAAGGGAATACCAGAGTTGGAAAAAGGGACCTGGGAGGTCATCTAGTCCAACCCCCCCCCCCGCTCAAAGCAGGAAACCCCGCATCATTGCCGGACACGGGCCTGTCCAGCCTCTTATTCAAAACCTGCAGGGATGAAGACCCACCCACCCCACCCACCCACCGCCCCCCCCTCCAGAGGCAAGGCGGGGGGGCTCCCCTCCCCCTCCCGGGGCGACCCCCGCCAGCCTTGGGGAGGGGGGCGCAGGGCCGGCCTCCCCGGCGCAGGGAAGCGGCCCCCGGGCTCGGCCTGGGCCCCCGTCCCGCCTCGCACCTGCGCCCGAGCTCTCCATGGCGGCGCCGGGACGATCCCCTCCCGGGCTGCCCGGCCGACGATCCGCAGACGAACGCGGCCTTTCCGCGGAGAGACCGGACGCCTCTGCGCAGGCGCGAAGAGGCGGAGGAGGAGCCACGCCTCGGTGGCGTCACGGAGCGTTGACCAATGGGAGGCTTAGGAAGACAAGGGCGGGGCAAGGAGGGCTGGAGTGACGACATTCCCGGGTCTCTGCCCGGGCTTGTCCGAAAGAGGCTTCCATGGGTTGTAGCTTGCACGTCTGGATGCAATTGTAATACAAGCCACGGGCAAACCAGGTTGAATGTTTCCTTCCCTTCCTTCCCTCCTGCCATCCCTCCGAGAGGCGCCGTCAGTCTCTCCAAATAGATGGACGCCCCAAGATCAAACCCAGGGAGAAGACCCAACACGTTGGTTACTACCCAGAGCACCAGAAGGCGGGACGGGAAGCAACGGGTGGAAACTAACCGCGGTGAGAAACAACCTAGAATTAAGGAGAAGCTTCCTGACGGTGAGAACAATTAAACCAGTGAAACGGCCCGCCACCAGAACTTGTGGGTGCTCCATCACGGAGGTTGTCAAGAAGAGATTGCACAGCCAGCCATTGGATGTGATAGCGTATGGCCCCTGCCTTGGGCAGGGGTTGGACTAGAAGACCTCAGAGGTCCCTTCCACCTCTGTCATTCTGTATGAGGCTCCTGCCTGAGCAGGGGTTGGACTAGAAGACCTCAGAGGTCCCTTCCACCTCTGTCATTCCGTATGAGGCTCCTGCCTGAGCAGGGGTTGGACTAGAAGACCTCAGAGGTCCCTTCCACCTCTGTCATTCCGTATGAGGCTCCTGCCTGAGCAGGGGTTGGACTAGAAAACCTCCCGAGGTCCCTTCCAGCCCTGGATCCTGCATTCTTCTTAAGCAAGCAAGTGCGAGGAGCAGACTGCACAGCCTTTTCCCTTTTGCTGTGCAACCGAAAAGCAGCAGCGTTTCGCATTTTGCTCCCTCGGCAGCGAAGGAAGGAAAAATCCGATCCTGAAGACGGTGGAGGACAGAGGGCAAGACACGGGGGTGGTCCTGGCAACGGCCCAGCTGGATATCAGACACAAAGGGACGATGGTAGGAGAGAGGGGAGTCCCATGCAGCCCAAAGGCTTGCCAGCTGGAAAAAAAAATTGACCCTTGCAGAATGTGCAAATATTTTCTCCTGATTGTCTGAGCTAAGAATGGCAGCTTGGAAAAAGAATAGACGGGTGATGAAGGCGCATTTTTGACTGTTGGGAGACCTCTGAATGTTAGCAATTGATAAAAAGAAGAAAAAAAAATCTGAATTTAATTCTCTCTGCAATGTGTGCTGTTGGCACCTGGTTTCTCCTTTCTCGGCTCCTTAATGGTGGAGACAACCCAGGAGAGGCCTTGAGGGACTATCCAGCAACAAGAATGGCAGGGATATTCCTTAAGCCCTGGAAAAGGAGAGGAAATTATTCGGACGAGGACTTGAGGTTCATTGGTTTTGTTTAAACACGATAAACGGGGTTTATGCCCACAGCCACGTTGTTCTCCTTCTGCATCTACTACCCTTTTTAAATAAGTGAAAATGGGCACTGTCTCATAGGAGACATCAAAACGGTTTCCAAAATATATATTCATCACACATGCTCTATTTTTCAAGCACCACTCATCTATGATAGATGATGAGAACGGTAAATCAAATCTCTCTATAAAATTTGGAGACTGAAGAGTCAGTTTGAAGATTAGTACACCGAACTCGGCAAAAACAGAATTTGAAAACTATCACAACTATAACGTCCTGATGATTAAATAAGTGTGTATAACACATCTTTTTCAGTTACAAAAAAGATGGGACCTCATATTAAATTCTTTCAAGGCTTTTTATCTCATCCAGATATTCACCTCAAGGCTGAAATACCTTACGGATAAAATGTGTCTTGTTACTTCTACATTATGCAATCACAAAAATCTTAACATAATTAGCATTTTCTCTGAGGAAAAAATTTAAAAGGGACCAACCGTTTGTCAAAACCAGTTTTTTTTTTTTTATAAAACTCCAGTAATCCACCTTTTTACTGGGGAAAAAAAATACTGCATTAACCACTTGGGTTTTTAAAGCACATTTTAACACACTTCGGTTTTAACTAATGAGCAGAAACGAGGGCTATGAGCAATGTCTTTATTAGCTAATCAACATCAACATGCAAAAATAAAGGCTAAATACAAAGTCTATCATATGGGTTTTGTCGCTACTACAATGAGGATGTCTGGTGGACGATGAGGATGTGATTGGTAGCGGTTAAAAATTGGACTAACCTCTTCGGCTGTGAATACCTTAAAAATTACAGAATTCTCCTGCAAGGCATCTTCTTCAAAACCTCCCCAACACTGAAGGTTACCAGCTGATTTTTTTTCCCCTCTCTCATGTGAATACATTCTCAAAGCAAAAAAATAAGGCAGTTAGCACTAAATGGTTTTTTGATAGTTGAATCCTATGCACGTAGTAACTAATAAACGAAAGGTCCTTAACACTATGATCAAATGGAAGGAGGACAGACCAACAAGCAGCACACATTGTGCCTGCAATGTTACCAGTTGTGTGTTTAAGCAATTGTTTAAAAGTTTCTTAAAAGTATCCAGGACAGAGCTTCTCAACCGTGGGAACTTGAAGATAGGTGGACTTCAAGTTCCCAAAGTTGATAAAACACTGAATTGTAGGGATTTTAGAGACGGCAATAAACCCCTCTCTGTCTTGTGTTAGCATCCATCAAGCATCGATTCCAAGGACTGGCCGTTTTTTAAAGGCAACGTGACGGACGATACCCAAAAAAAGTGTTTGCTAACACAGATGAAGTGTTTGCACACCTGGACGCAGGGAGTGTGTTTCCAGGTGGTGTGGCTCACGGTGACCACATCAGAAGGGGAAAGGCGTGTGCAGGCACACGCTCCCTTGCGTGTCCTCAAGAACACAGGACTGACACGCATCGGGAGAGCTGAAAACCAGCCCTCCGGTGCCGTCTCTTAGCAATTTGCATATTTAATCCCGTCGAATCGTACAACATTTCATACATGGGTTGAAACGGGGGGGGGTGTACCCAAAGCTGAAGTGAGATCTACAGTTAAAAAGTGGGGTGTGTTGTTGTTTTTGTTGTTGTTGTTGTTATGCAAAATGATCTGATTTGTTTCTTCTGGATGAATGTTTGAGAAAAAAAATCCAATCGTGGTTTACAAAATCGAAGCATTCAAAGTTTGTTCCCTCCGAATGCAACTTTTTTTTCTCTCTTTTTTTTTTAACTTTAGTCACACTTCCTCACTTTCTCAAGAGTAGTTATGTTTCTGCTCACTGATCTTTGGTCGCAACGGGAAAACAAAAAAATGCCACCAAGAAATCCGAATTCCCACCCCAACCCTAACCCTCTCCCGGCCCTCCCGAGTCGCAGCTCTCTTTGCCGGACTTGAGATTGTTCCCACAGGGCACGGCTAGAACAAACTGTGTCAAAATCCAGTGGCACTTCATTGCGCGTGAGGAGGGGGTTTACATAATGTAGACCTTCTCGGCTTGAGAGAAGTTGAAGACTTCTTTGGTTCTCGGGCAAATTACTCGGTCATCCTGACGAACAGAAAGCAAGGACTGGAACAAAACACAGAAGAAGAAGAAAGATCAGAGACGTCTCAGAGCAAAATGCCTCCCAGAAGCGGTGAATGTTCCAACACTGGAGGTTTTTAAGAAGAGACTGGGCAGCCATTTGTCCAAAATGGTACAGGGTCTCCTGCCTGAGCAGGGGGTTGAACTAGATGACCTCCAAGATCCCTTCCGAGTCTGTTATTCTGTTATTCTTTTCCTTCCTTCCTTCCTTCCTTCCTTCCTTCCTTCCTTCCTTCCTCCCTCCCTCCCTCCCTCCCTCCCTCCTCCAACACTGGAGGTTTTTAAGAAGAGACTGAACAGCCATTTATCTGAAATGCTATAGGGTTTCCTGCCTGAGCAGGGGGTTGGACTAGATGACCTCCAAGGCATTTTAAATGCTGTGTTATGTATTCAAGATGGATAGTGATTAATCCATATGTTACTCATATGTAAGGGTGTAGTTCTATACCAGGGATAGGCCACCTTGGCCCTTTTATGACTGGCGGACTTCAACTCCCAGAATTCCTGAGCCAGCATGGGGGAACTATGGCCCCTTCATGACCCGTGGACTTCAACTCCCAGAATTCCTGAGCCAGCATGGCTCAGCTTGGAAACCTCTCCCTTTCCCCTCAGCATGGCTGGCTCAGGAATTCTGGGAGTTGAAGTCCACCAGTCATGAGGGGCCAAGGTGGCCTACCCTGGTCTATACATATGTTGTATATAGTATGTTTAAATGTCTGTTATGTATGTGTACACTTTCAGAGCAAACAACTAAATTTCATGTTTTAATGGGTGCCATTGTGCCCACAGTAAAAAATGACAATAAAGGTTATCTAATCTAAGACTTTATTCAGGCCAGAGATAGGCCACCTTGGCTCTTTTCATGACTGGTGGACTTCAATACCCAGATTTCCTGAACCAGCCATGCTAACTTAGGAATTCTGGGAGTTGAAGTCCACCAGTCATAAAAGAGCCAAGGTGGCCTATCTCTGGTCCAGGCCAAATTCGAATTAGGACAGTCCTGAGCCCCCACTCACATTGTATCCGTAGACATATCCGTTGGGAAGCATCATGGGGGGATTATTCTCATTCATCACATCTCCTGAAATTTTGCAGACTAGCCGGGAGTTGGCACAATGTGCCATGGGCAAAGGCTGGGCCAGCTTATTGAGGGATTTGCTACACACCGGGCAGTCGGGGTTTTTGGAACTGCCATCCTCTTTATAACACTGCCTGTTTAAAAACAAGTTAAGGAAGCATTATAATAATAATAGGAAAATATTTAAAGCGATAAGACAAATACCGCTGTCACAGATAACTCCAGGGTTAATATGAAATGATGAGATATTCCCCCCCCCCCAATTTGGGCCTATCAACAGCAACCAGGCGTGTGTAATTTGCCCAGTCCCCTGATCCCCGAAGCAACGTTAAAAGCTGAGGTATCTTCAAGGCGCCTAGAATATTTGATAGCATGTATTATTCAGATCGGTTCTTTTTTACTCGATGGAAAAAGAAAAAAAAAGACGTCTGGAATTTTGATCGAGAGCATTACAAGGAAACGTAATCTTGGAAACGTTCATCTCCAAGCTTGCATTTTTCACATTCCAATATATATATTTATTTTGTGGCATGCAAAGCACGAAAGCCAGTCGCTTGGATGACTGTTTGAATTAAAAGTGGCTATTATCGTTGCATATTTGTCAAACGGCAGTTTAGGAAAGAGTCAAGTCCATTTTTTTTTTTTAAAAAAGGCATAATTTTTTTAAAGACCAAAGAATACACGTGGAAGGATACGGTGTTTTTATAGCAGAAAGCCCAGCCTGGAGTGTTATGGTAAAGACAGAGTTATTCCCCAGTTGATGCAATCTGTAGTTATCGTATCTAAACTGCTGGATTAGCATCCTCCACCGAGCAGGGTCTAGAAGATCCTGAGCAGAAGGAAATAAAAAGCCGGAGGGAGAGAGAGAGAGAGCGCAGTTTCAGACTATTAAAATATAAAATTATGCACAGGCAGCCCTCGAGATACGAACAGTTGAGCCCAAGATTTATGCTGCAAAGGGAAACATTTGTTAAGTGAATTTTGCCTCGTTTTGCGACTTCTCTTGCACACCATTGTTAAGCAAGTCACTGCATCTGTTAAGTTAGTCAGACGATTGTGAAGTGAATCTGGCTTATCCATTGACTTTGCTGGTGGCAAAAGGGGATCACGTGACCCCCCCAGGACACTGCCACCGTCGTAAGTACAAGTCAGTTTCCAAGCGTCTGAATTTTGATCATATGACCCCTGACAGTCAAAAGTGAGGGTCCTAAGTCACCTTTTTCACTGCCGTTGTAACTTCGTGCAGTCCCTAAATGAACTGCCGTTACGTCGAGGACCACCTGCACTGTATCCACAAGACCAAATAAATATATTTCATATCTTTATAATATATAAATATATATTTATATATTAAAAGTTGGCTCTAGGCTTTTCTTACAAAACGCTTCCGCCCAGTCCTGAAGAGAAACACGTGATTAATATCAGTTCAGTACAGAAGTTGCCTTCTGTTATTTATCTTTATTCATTTGTAGAATTTATTGGCCGCCCATCTTGCCACACGATAACTCTGGACAGCTTACAATATTACAACGGTTATTAGTCAGGAAAGGGCTACAATCTCCTATTTTATTTTATTTTTATTTTTAATTTTTGTCTTGCAAAAGTAATCCAGAAGAAGTTGGCCATCTGTATAGGTCGAACTAGTTCCCTGCATCCATTTGCTATTGAAAAATTGTGTCCCCCCCCACCACATTTAAGAGATTTCTTCCCAAATTCTTTATTCTAAAGGAAAAAGAAGCTGACTCGCAGCTGGGCACAAACCAGACTGGGGGGCTGCAATTCAGCAGCCCTAAGTGGGCCGCTGGCTCAGCAGCCCCAGCTTCCTAAGAGGAAATCAACTCAATTGGATGGGACCGATTTGTATGGTCTGAAGAGATCCCACAGTGCCCGGGAAGCATTTTGCTTCAACTGACTGAAATTTGGTGAAATTTTTGTAGCCAAACCAACTCCTGCACATCAAATCCTGCGATAGACAAAAAGGTGTTTGGGAGAAGCAAAGGAACCACAGGTAGTCCTCAACTTAAAACAGTCCATTCACAGTTACAACTTTGGACCGTTTTCCCACACTTACAACGACTGCAGCATCCCCGGGGTCACGTGGTCAAAATCCAGGTGCTTGGCAACTGACTCACCTTGATGACCGTGTCCCGGGGTCATGTGATCCCCTTTCTGTGACCTTCTGGCGAGCAAAGTCAAAGCTGGATTCACTACTGCAGCGTTCACTTAGCACAGTGGTTCTCAACCTTTTTAATGCTGCGACTCCCAACCGGTCGTAAGTCGAGGACTACTCAACTGGTGCAGCTCCATTTGCAGACTGGGGCTTTTGGCGGGCTCAGCAGGGCAGAGACAGCCTGGACAATTCCTATTGGCTTTTGAAAGCCAATAGAATAAAAGGGAGTAGCACAGCTAAGAAAAAGGGGGAAAAAATGGCGGACTCGTTATTTGGCGAACCCCGTGAAATGGTCGTTCGACCCCAAATGGGGTCCTGACCCACAGGTTGAGAACCACTGACTTAGCAACTGCCTCAAGGAAAGTCGTAAAATGGGTCAAAACTCACTTAACACATGTTTTCACTTAGCAACAGAACTTCAGGATGTGATTGTGGTCGTAAGTGTCTAAAGACTGCCTGTGTCTAAACAGGGTACGGACGCCCAAGATGATTGCAGGTACAATGCAGGTCTGAACATGCTTACGACTCTTCCCCTTTATCGTGTCCCAACCTTAAGACTCGTGATAATCAAACTTCTCAGTGGCCATGATGGAAAACAGGTTGTCACAGAAAGGATCACGCACATGGCGGAGGATTAAAAGGCTTGTCTCGGTTTTAATTGTGGAGGCCAGCCCAAATTAACCTGCCATAATGAGCCGTATTAACCTGCCACTTCACATACCCCCCCCCCCTTTAAACTGAAGGCAGAGCAGCCTACCTTGTAAGGAGAAATGTGAGTATCGGAAGGAAAAGCTAGCATCCCCATCACCTGCCGCACTTCGTCCAGCTGGCTCCCCTCGGCCTGGCTGAAATGCTTCCGTGCGTGTCTGAAATTCAAGACATACAGAACAGGGTTTCCTTTGCCACATTCTTCATTTGCACAGGTTTCTGATTTCTTTTTTCTTTATTTTGGAATGGAAGCGTGCCGGCCCCTGGGAGTGAACGTCCCTCCTGTTAATGAATCAGTTTCAGTCTCCAGAATAAAACTGATCTTATTCTTCACAGCAGACCTCCTGTTTTACGTTACAATATATGTCTTTTGTTTTTAATTTTGGCTTCTATTGCTGCTTTTATCCTAATTTGGTACTGGGGCATTGTAGGCTGCTCAGAATTAGTTGACTAGAGCAGGGGTCCCCAGCAACCGGGCCGCACAAACAAGCAAAACCCTATCCATGAGATGCCGGCAGCACACACAACCACGCACCCTCCGGTCTGTAGAAAAACCTCTCTCCATGTAACCGGTCCCTGTGCCCCAAAGGTTGGGGACCTCTGGACTAGAGCCATCGATAACAAGGGTCCCCAACCCCCAGTCTGTGGACTGGTACTGGTCCGCGGCGTGCCAGCAACCAGTCTGCACAAACAAGCGAACCCCCATCTGGGGATGCAGGCAGCACACAAAACCACACACCCTGCGGTCCGCGGAAAAACCTCTCTCCACGTAACCAGTCCCTGGTGCCCAAAAGGCTGGGGACCTCTGACCTATAACATCCTGTAAGTGTGCAAATAAGTAATTGCTCATGTACAGATTTGCACAGTCCAGCATCTTCCCTAATCCTTGATGGGTGGACATTAAGTTTGATAGCTAATGCCTGTAACGTCAGAGTCCACTTGGATCAGGCCAAAATTCCATCCAATGCAACAGAGAACGACAACCCCGTAGATCAGTGTTTCTCAACCTTGACCATTTTAAGGCATGTGGACTTCAACTCCCAGAATTCCACAGCCAGCAATGCTGGCTGTGGAATTCTGGGAGTTGAAGTCCACATGCCTTAAAATGGTCAAGGTTGAGAAACACTGCCATAGATGCATTCGGGAAGCTCACAAGTACACAGGCCTAAAGGGAAATAGCCGCTGGAAAATCAAATCCTCCATTAATATTTGCTGCAACCCTGTTCAAAGCCACTTAAATGGATAGCTGCAACCACATCCGACGGCACAACTCCAAGAGATGTTTCCTTTTATCGATCTTTTGACTCTCTTGTCGGTTTCTGCCGTTGCCACTGGGATTCGTCTTCCTTTATTGCTTCCTCTCTAAGCTAAGAAGCGCCGGAGTTCATCGCGCCTCCTCAGTTTTTATGAGTCTTCTCTGCAATATTTTTTTTTCCCAGTGTGCAGTTTTGAGACAGAATGACGATAACTGCAGTATCACACCGTGGATTTGTACAGTAGCGCTATCACGCTGGCAGTTCTATTTTCGGCTACTTCCCAAACGATTTCCAGCATGGCACGGGACCTGGTTACCCGCGGGAGTGACCGTCTCCAGTAGTATCTGCCCGACTGGTTCGATCTGGCCAGGCTGGCGCGCTTCGGGCTCCATCAAATAAATAATGGCATCTATCGGGACCTTGGCAGCAGGACTTTTCTGCCGCAGTGCCTGTCCTCTGGGGTGAGGCTCCCCCTAAAATTCAAATGCTCCCCACTCTGATGGGGTTTCAAAGACGCCACTCTTCTTCCAGATCTTTGGAGAGGATAACTGATAAATAAGAGAATAACTCCTTTTTCTTCCTTCTCTCTCTCTCTCTCTCTCTCTCTCTCTCTCTCTCTCTCTCTCTCTCTCTCTCTTTCTTTCTCTCTCTCTCTCTCTTTCCTTCCTTCCTTCCTTTCTTCCTTCCTTTTTTTCTCTCTTCCTCCCTCCCTCCCTCTATTGCTGACTGGAAATCCCTTTTCTGCATAAAACAGAAAAAAAAAGAACTTTCAATTTGTGGTTTTGATGACGAGAAACCATTAGAAAATACAAATCATTAGATAATAGGAAAAAGCTTTTTTTTTTGGTAACCACAGAGTAAAAGATAATGTTTGTAATTATACTGCATTTGTATTTGCAGCAAAAAGGGGCAAAAATGCAAAAAGAAAAGATAAAAAGAAATAGAAGAAGCTTCCAAGTTCCTTCCTTCCTTCCTCATTCACTCCTTTCTTTTTCTTTCTTTCTTTCTTTTTCCTTTTTTCTCTCTTCTTCCTTTCTTTTTTTCTCTCTCTTTCTTTCTTTCTCTTTCTTTCTTTCTTTTTTTCTTTCTTTCTCTCTCTTCTTCCTTCCTTCCTCTCTGTATTAATTTTTGTTAGTTTTTAATCTTCTTTTTATAGAACTTTTATACAAATGTACATGGAAAACTCTCCTAAAGAAAATATAACTACTTTTGGTAACAATTTTGAAACGGCAAACCTGTAATGTAGTATCTTTTAAAAATAATCTTCCGTGCCCAATTCGGGCATGTCTTTACAGTCTCGCTTTCCTACGTGCATGTATGTTTCATTGTACCTGACAGCATCCAGTCTCTTGTTCTGTCGAATAAGTTCTATGAACTCCTGAATCCTTAGACTGAATTCCAGACAACTCTAAATTGAAAAGAAAACAAATCTTAAGACAGGCCATAGCAAGATTTAGACCCTCAATCTGTAATTTTATCTGTGTTTATTTGGGTAACTTACCTCAAAAGCAATACGATATCTGAATATATTTAGGGCCAAATTCAAAATTAACGCCATGAAATATCTTTATGCAATTTGATGTTACTTCATAACCAAATGCTTTATTTTTTTAAAAAAACAACATTTATATATCCACATTGTTTTCTTTTAAAACTTTATTACAACAAAGTTCAATTTTCACACATTTGTTCAACTCTTCTGTTCAGTTTCCAACTGAAATGTTACCTAGATGTAACATTCGGTAATTCTCTCAGAAGGCTCTTCAAAATTTACTTTTAAGCTATTCCTGATACTGTTTTATCACAGTATCGAAACAAATCCTGATTCACCTTTTTAAGGAAGCCAAGAACACCTGAAGACTTGGCAAAACTCAAACAGGGAGACTCCGGGGATGAGGATTATCTGTAGGTGAGCTATTTCCCCCCCAAAAAAGTAGCTTCAAGTGACTAATTCCCTTAACACTTTTCAACACTAAATAAGACCCCAAATCTCCTCTTCCCAGATATGGGGGGGGGGTCCCTGACCACTCTTTCAGTCATCAAAGTTGTGATGGCACTGAACGTGCGGTGTTTACGACCCACGTGGTCCTGGGATCGAAATCTGGGCTCTAAGCAACTGGCTCACACAGTACAGTCGTGGCCAAAATGGTGGAAACCTTTTGGGAAAAGTGTACAGTAGAAATGCTATTTTTGGTTAAGTTTCCACCCATTTTTTTTTCTAATTTCTTTATAACTGTAGCCTCGTTCACTTAATCATACTATTTTACATCGCTTTCTGGGCGACCAGTCATGACTTTAATTTTATTACGTTTTACAAGCTCACTCAATGAAAGAACACACACACACACACAAAACCCAACCAACTTGATAGCGATCCCATAACACACTGACAAATGTCCTCCTCTCAGCTTCAATCCGTGACGTCCATCACTGGATCCTACTGTGATCTGACTGGCTCATTGCTAAAACAAGATGACACCCGATTGGCTCTCTAAACACTCGTGCTCATTGGCTACAATCAGGTGAAGGAAAGCTACCTGAAATCAACCTAAGCAAGTTGTGCTTCCTTTTTCTGATTATTTGGCTATCACTTTTCATAGGCTACAGTACAGATAATTGAACAAGCTTTGTTGCATTACGTTCTTGATTAAATGATCTTTCCATTGATATATAATTTTACGGTACCGCTCTCCCCCCCCCAAAAAAATGGTGTTGTTAGCCATCAAACCTCAAAAATACACTTTTCCCAAAAGGTTTCCACAACTTTGGCCACTCCCGTAGGTGGCATGTAGGAAATTCCATCCTTCTGGGGTAGGTAAAACGAGGACCCAGATTGTTGGGGGCAATGTAAATGTATATATACATTGCTTACTGGTGTAGACCGCTTAGAGAGTGCTTGCACTTAAAGCGGTATATAAGTCTCATAGATAGATAAATAAATAAATAAATAAATAAATAAATAAATAAATTAGCTATCGCATGCAGCTAGCTATATTACGTTCTTGTAAAGCAGGTTTTACAACTCCCGCGGCTTGGAGTTCATGGACTTTGGTGGTGGTGGTGGAGGGAGAGAGAGAGAGAGAGGGAGGGAGGGAGGGGGAGGGAGAGAGAGGGAGGAGAGGGAGGGAGGGAAAGGGGGAGAGTTAGGGAGAGAGAGAGGGAGGGAGGGAGAGGAAGAGAGGGAGGGAGGGAGGGGAGAGAGGGGAGGGAGGAGAGGGGGGAGGGAGAGAGGGAGAGGGAAAGGGAGAGAGAGGGAGGGAGGGGAGGGGGAAGAAGGGAGAGGAGGGAGAGGAAGGGAAAGGGGGGAGAGAGAGGGAGAGAGACAGAGAGGGAGGGAGAGGGGGAAGGAGGGAGAGGAGGGAGAAGGAAGAGAGAGGGAAAGAGGGAGGAAAGGGGAGAGAGGGAGGGAGAGGGAGGGAAAGGGGGAGAGAGGGAGGGAGGGGGAAGGAGGGAGAGGGAGAGAGGGGGAGGGAGGGAGAGAGAGGGAGGGAGGGAAAGGGAGGAGAGAGAGGGAGGGAGACAGAGAGAGGGAGGGAGGGAGAGGGGGAAGGAGGGAGAGGGAGGGAGGGAGGGAGGGAGGGAGAGAGGGAGAGAGGGAGCAAGAGAGAGAGAGAGTGTGCTGTGAATCACTCTGGATCTGACCTCTGCCCGGCATTTTGTCCAGAGCTGAAGGGAAAAGCCGCTCTCCGCTTCAGCCTCTTGTCCACAAAACTGGCCGAAGAGAGACCGGCATCCCCGGAGCAAAGGAGCAGGAAGGTTTTGGCATGCCATTACAGGTAGTTCTCGACTTACGACCAGAACCGAGCCCCAAAATTTCCTGTTGCTAAGCGAGACGGTTGTTAAAGTGACCAATATTCCCCACCCATCTTGAGTTCCCCTTGTACCTTCATTTTCCTGAGCCTAGATTTGTTGTCATGGCACCAAGCTAAACAAGTCATCGTTTCTTGTCTTTCCAAGGATTCTTCTACTTCTTTGGCAGTCAGGAACATCTCAATGTTGACCAAGTCCTGGGAAAGCAGGAAAACACAAATGATCCGCTTGAGAATCGCACCGCGTACGTTTATGGCAGTGTTTCCCAAACTTGACAATTTTAAGGCATGAGGACTTCAACTCCCAGAATTCCACAGCCAGCAACGCTGGCTGTGGAATTCTGGGAGTTGAAGTCCACATGCCTTAAAATTGTCAAGGTTGGGAAACACTGGTTTATGGAAACGCTGCGGGAGCCGCACGACCGAAGATTTTTGTTCAGAGCAGAAATCGGAACGTGGCGAAAGGGGGCGGTGGGAGAGAGGGAAAGATTGGGGAGCCTTTCTCCAGAGCTTCCCAATTCAGGGAAGTCATCCTGAATTGGCTGGAATGGGTCACCTCCTGAGTAAATGCCCAAATAGCGCCCAAGCCTCAACGTCAGGAAGCTTCACAGCTCCCACTTCCCATGAGTGCAGCCAATATCTGAGCGCCTCTTAATCGTCACAAAACACAAATCAGTTGGGCCCGGCTCTCGGAGTCTCTGGGAGGACTGCTAACTGCGCAACACCGGAAATCTCTGGAGTCTCTGGGAAATCCCTTTGCCGACGGGGAGGACCAATGAGATCCCCTCAACTTGGGGCCAGACCCTGCCCTGTGTGGCTCCTGCACAGGTGGTCCCCGACTTAGCAACAGTCCGTTTAGTGACCGAAGTTACAACAGCACCGAAAAAAGTGGACTTACAGCCGGTTTTCACACGACTGCTGCAACCGTCTGGTTCGCGTGATCAAAATTCAGACGTTTGGCCACTGGCTCATATTTATGTCCTGGGGTGTGTGTGTGTGTGTGACGTGATCCCCTTTTGTGACCCTCTGACAAGGGGCAAGCCAGATTCGCTTAACAACGGGGCTGCCAATTTATCAACCGCCGTGATTCGCTTAACAACGGGTTGACAAGAGAGATGGTGAAGCGGGAACAAACTTCCTTAACGAACGTTTCGGTTAGTCACAGAAATGTGGGGCTCAATTTAAATTGAGGACCACCTGTGTCGAATTTTATAATGCCTGCTAATCTTCACAGCTGTGGGCTCAGTGCCCAGCAAAAGACCCTGGGGTGACCGCTAACTTCGCAGCACCGGAAATCCCTTTGCAAGGAGACGACCAATGGCTGGACCAGATCCTGCACACCTCCTACGCAACGAAGGACAAACAGCCATGAAGCCGATGGCTTCCTGGCACATCCCAACTGTCTTGGGTATAGTCTGGTTGCTAACATATAATCCTGATTATTCCCTGGGAGCAAGGAGCTAGTCCCTCTCCTTTCTACAATAATAACGGCACTGTTTCCAGTTGTTATTTTCCTCTCTTTCCTTGTGTCTCAACCCTGAATGTCTGGATGGAAGAGATGGTGCATCCCATGACAACAGGGGACAGAGAAGCTGGGGACGGGGGAGTCCAAGCGTGGTGATATGTCTAGGCCAGGGGTAGGCCACCTTGGCTCTTTTATGGCTCGTGGACTTCAACTCCCAGAATTCCTGAGCCACCATGGCTCAGCTTAGAAACCTCTCCCTTTCCCCTCAGGGTGGCTGGCTCAGGAATTCTGGGAGTTGGAGTCCACAAATCATAAAAGAGCCACGGTTGCCAACCCTGCCCTATACCATATCAGGTAAATGGTTATCCAGTCTCTTTTTGAAAGCCTCCAGTGATGGAGCACTCACAACTTCTGAAGGCAAGCCATTCCACTAGTTCAGGGGTAGGCCACCTTGGCTCTTTTATGACTCGTGGACTTCAACTCCCAGAATTCCTGAGCCAGCATGAGGGAACTATGGCCCCTTCGTGACTCGTGGACTTCAATTCCCAGAATTCCTGATCCAGCATGGCTCAGCTTGGAAACCTCTCCCTTTCCCCTCAGCATGGCTGGTTCAGGAATTCTGGGAGTTGAAGTCCACAAGTCATAAAAGAGCCAAGGTTATATATCTCTGGCCTAGGAGGTTGTGAGAACATGGCGGATGGAGCAAGACTGTTATGGGGGGGGGGCATTACAAACAAACAAAAAGATTCCCAAGACCAGAGGAGAAAGGCAACATGAGAAAAAGACTTGGAGTAATTGTGCCTTAATTATAGAGTTTTAAGCTGAATCAGAGAATTGTTGGAGCGGGCTTTCGCGATTTCTATTATAATGCCCTATTATTGATCAAGATCTTTCCAGAAATCCCAGGGGGTTCCCGTTTCCTGAAGCTGCATTCCTTGAAAGGCTTGACAGATAAAAATTAGAAAGATATAGGGTTTTTTATTATTATTATTCCTGTGTTAAATCCAGGGAAACAAAGGGCTCTTGTGTTTTCTGATCAAGGCCATCCCTTAGTAAGAAAGCAACTGCAGTCATTGTAGAGGGGAGGAACCGAGTCAGGATAATCTTTGTGCAATTCCAACCAGCCAATGCACATAACCCACTTAAGGGATGGCATCCAGAACTAAACTATTGCCTCTGCCTGCATTCCTTTAGCTCTGGTGATTAAGCCAAGATTATAAATTGCACGTTAGAATTCCATTTGACTGAATAGTTTAAACATAACAGGAAATGAAGAGCTGTTTTGTGACAGCCCAGAATTAATTTTCCCAGGGCAAATGTTCTATTGCAAATATTACTTGCTTATTACATTTGTACAGAACGTGAAAAAAAAAAAAACTCTGAACCCTTCAGTTCAACTTTCAAAAAAATCCCCAACTATGAAGTGTTAAAAGAAAAATCCTTTATTCCACATTCGGTCCGTGTGGAAGGGGGAATCTTCAAATAAATCCACTTTGTAGCGGAATTCTTAAATGATTAGTTTGCGCTGCGGAAAACATTAGGAGGAACCAATTAAGCAAAGCTGAATCAACTAGAAAAATTCACTGTACGGGAACAGAGTATGCCATTCTAAAAATAATACATAAATACATCGATTCCGGCCAAACTGAAAATATGCTTCATACGCAGGAAAACAAACTGTACAGAATGAACGTGAAACAACTGGCTTAAAAGTTATCCGAGCACCACGGTGTACAAAAAAAATTAGAAAGGATTTCAAGATAGCCTGGCTGTCACTTCCTGCCACACCACCTCAGGGTGTGTGTGTGTGTGTGTGTGTGTGTGTGTGTGTGTGTGTGTGTATTCCGTACTTCCTGTTCAGTATAAACACTTCCTTGCACTTAGAAACCTTTATAAAACAAAACAACTGAAAGTGATCCTTGCCACTTTCTAGTCTCTGAAAAGAGGACCCACCTCAATGCCGCTCTGCCTGGCTAATTTCACCGCGGTGTTGTAGTAGCCGCAGCGCAGGAGGTGCTCCACCATCATGCGATCCATGCGCTTCTTCTTCCACATGTTCGCCGCCGCTGGCTGGTCACTGCTGTGCTCTTTAAGATGCTCGATTCTGCGTTTGCACAGCTTCGCACTCTCATCTTCGGCCTGGATCGACTCTACAGCCTATTTGGGGGGGGGAGAAGAGTTATTCAGTCCTATCTTAACATAGGACTTTCTAGACACAAAGCAGTCAATTAATCTTGCAAAATGAAGGGAGCCACGTGCATTTGCACATCTCATGGCCCATATAAAGTCTAGCAGAGAACTGAGAGACACACTAAAGAAACACACTGTGATTCTCAACCTTAGCGAACTTTCAGATGAAGTAACCCAGGGATGTCAAACTTGCCACGTCACGTGATGTGTCACGACATGTTGCAACTTTTTCCCCATTGATGGAGCCGGGGTGGACGCGGCTTCGGCATGACGCGTCCGGCCCGCGGGCTGGCAATTTGACACCCCTGAACTAACCGAATAACAGAGTTGGAAGGGACCTTGGAGGTCTTCTAGTCCAGCCCCTTGCTCAAGCCGGAGACCCTAAGCCATTCTGGACGAATGGCTGTCCAATCTGGGAGGGAGGGAGGGAGGGAGGGAGGGAGGGAAGGAAGGAGGGAGGGAGGGAGGGAGGGAAGGAAGGAAGGAAGGAAGGAAGGAAGGAAGGAAGGAAGGAAGGAAGGAAGGAAGGAAGGAAGGAAGGGACAGCAGAATAACAGAGTTGGGAGGGACTTGGAGGTCTTCTAGTCCAGCCCCTTGCTCAAGCCGGAGACCCTAAGCCATTCTGGATGAATGGTTGTTCAATCTGAGAGGGAGGGAGAGAGGGAAGAAATTTGGAGGGAGGGAGGGAGGAAGATAGAATAGCACAATAACAGAGCTGGAAGGGACCTTGGAGAATAAAATTCAGATATTTCAGGTTTTTAAAGCTCCTTTGGGAATCTCATGAGTGGACTTCAGCTCCCAGAATTCCCCAGCCAGCAGGCGACAGTCACACAAAATTGAGCAACATCCCAGCCATTTCTAACCGTAATGTTGCGAACATTTCTTGATGCATAGGCTTGCAGCAATGAAGGCACAGGGAAAAATCCATTGCTATGCGCCCGAGGTATGCAAACCTTTCGTAGGGAAGCTAAGAATTGTAGCATAACACAGATTACCTGAGTAATCAATACCTTTCAACTTACCCCATTTTTTCTCTTATCCCCTCAGTCACAGAAACTCACTGGGCCTCTGTGTAGGAGAAAAACAATGACACCCTTCCCGATCTCACACGGTTTTATTGAAGTCTGTGGTTTGTTGGGTAATCCAGAAGAAATGGGGCATGTTCGTGGGTTTTAATAGAACATTATGCCTTAAAACAAGCTGATATCGGGCAAGGAACTACCCGACTAATGAAAGATACATATGAATCCATGCTTATTTTCACCATTGAGTCATTAAAAAGTGCACCTTAATCTTCTAGAAAAGCAAAATAATCCCGTGGTTTCCAATTACCTTTGCTTCTGTCACTGGAAGTTTTCAAAAGATGGAACCACCATTTAAACGCTAGGATGCAATAAGGTCTCCTGCCTTGGGTAGGGGGTGGACTAGAAGACCTCCAAGGCCCCTTCCAGCCCCATGATTCTATGATTTCTCTAGGACAGCGGTTCTCAACCTATGGGGCGCGACCCCATTTGGGGTCGATCGACCATTTTACGGGGGTCGCGAAACAACGCGATCCGCCATTTCCCCCCCAGAGGGCGCTGCCGTGCACGCGCGCCGTGCATGGGGGCGCCGCCGTGCATGCACACCGCGTTCGTGTGACGGGGTCGCCGTCACACGAAGATTGAGAATCGCTGCTCTAGGAAATCCAAAACTTTCATTCTCCCTCTACGTCAGCGTTTCTCAACGTTTGTGTGACGGCGACCCCCATCACACAAACGTTATGCGCATGCGCGGCGCCCCCAGAGGGGACAAAATGGCAGATCGCCGCCGTTGGCGACCCCCGAAAAGTGGTCGATCGACCCCAAATGGAGTCGCGACCCATAGGTTGAGAACCGCTGCTCTACGTGGCCTTTCCTAGGGATGTGCTATTGTTTAGATCCAAAGACAGAAGAAAAAAATACCCAGTTCGCTGTGGCTAAAACCTTAAGAAGATGCAGCTTTTCGTAGGCTCACACAATATAGTAGTGGCCAAAGTGGTGGAAACCTTTTGGGAAAAGTGTACAGTAGAAATGCCCTCTTTGGTTAAGTTTCCACCCATTTTTTCTTCTAATTTCTTTATAACTGTAGCCTCGTTCACTTAATAATACCATTTTACATCGCTTTCTGGGCGACCGGTCAACTCTTTGCACCATGACTTTACTTTTATGATGTTTTGCAAGCTCACTCAATGAAAGAACACAAAAAACCCCGAACAGCTTGACAGCGATCACACAACACACTGACAAATGTCCTCTTCTCAGCTTCAATCCGTGACATCCATCAATGGATCCCTACTGTGATCTGATTGGCTCATGGCCAAAACAAGATGACACCCGATTGGCTCTCTAAACACTCGTGCTCATTGGTTACAATCAGAGGAAGGAAAGCTACCTGAGATCAACCTGAGCAAGTTGTGCTTCCCTTTTCTGGTTATTTGGCTACAACTTTTCATAGAATACAGTACAGATAATTGAACAAACTATGTTGCATTACATTCTCGATTAAATGATCTTTCCATTGATATATAATTTTATGGTACTACTCCAAAAAAAAAGTGGTGTTATTAGCCATCCAACCTCAAGAATACACTTTCCCCAAAAGGTTTTCACAATTTTGGCCACTACTGTAATTACACAATCCCAGGAAAACACACGTTTGAGTACGGAGGGGGGGAGGGGCTAGGAGACATCATACTTCCTCAATCATTTGCTTAAAGCAGCAAAGAGGCTGTGTAAAGGGCCTGTTTTTCAGACTCAAGATGCATGATTAATCCCACTTTGGATTAATCCCAGAGCAATGTCTCAAAGTTCCCCTGGCGTGGAAGATCAGCAACCCCTGCAGCAGGAATTCTTGTGCTATTGTGCCAATAAAATGGAATTTATTAAAAATAAAGCCATTCTGAAGTTACAGCACATAAATAAATACCTTGCGTTGCAAAGAGCGTCACCGCGGATCTTGGAAGGTTTTGCTTATTTTTAAAACGTTTTTAAGGTTTGCTGTTTTTTTTTAAAAAAAAAAAAAAAAAAACACCCGGAAACTCGGGGGATTTTGCAGGCCTTGGGAACGATGTAAAATCTTAAGCAAGAACCGGCACATCGCGGATCGCTTTTTTATTACTGAAAAGTAAACTCTGATTCCAGTGAGCTGACGGGCTGGATTCCTTCACTGAGCAGTCACCCAAGATTGCAGTACGTGCAATAAAGATGTAAGTGTGTCAAAACAACGATTCTCTTTGTCTTGAAAACTCCCAGAGAACTGGAAAAAAACCCAAACAATAAAAGGAGGCGGGAAAACGTTACCTTCCGTTTCAGGACACTGAGCTTTTCAACCACGCCGTCCAGGAGACTGACCACTGAATCCACAGCTGGGCAGCTGCTCAGGGTCTTCTCCAGCTCTGCCACCACCATGGTCACGTGGCTCGTTTCTCGATCGATATTTTTCTGGGCAGCCCGGAACCGTTTGTTCAATGTTTCATAAGGTACCTTCAAAAACAAACCACCTATTGTTGTTTATAGGAAATACTCTTTCGAGCCTGGTTTGTTATCTTTCATTGACAATTGCTTAGCATGGACTGTCCAGATTTCATGAATTTATTTAAAGCATTCATATATACTATTTTTCAGGTGAGAAATCATAAGAGTTATCAAGCTATTTGTAATTATGTTCACATTCACAGATACTATATTCCATACAGCGTTAACCTTGTGAACTCTCAAGCTTCCTCCTTCCGTTATCTATTCAAGATGGACAGTATTTAATATTTATTTGTTATGTATAGGTAGGGGTGTGGGTCTATTCATTTGTTGTACATAGTATGTTTAGGTGTGTGTCTTGTATGGGTTTCACTTTGAGAGCGGGCAACTAAATTTCATTTTTGATGTGTGCCGTTGTGCCCACAGTAAAAAGAAATGACAATAAAGGTTATCTTATCTTATCTTACTACAGATTTATGTTAGAAAGAGTAAGGATTATGAAGAGACTTAGCACTGGCACCTGTGTTCCAGTTATTCCAGTTATTATCTGAAATTGGCAGATAATAGAAAATGAGAAATATAACAGCAGCTTATCTACAGCCTCATTGGCTTAAAATACTCCTCAAAATAACAATCCAGGTTTATGTCACCGGGAAGTTGGGGGAATAAGAAACAACAGTCCCCCAAGTACTCACTGAATGTATGTTTTCTATAAACAGTATTTTTGAAGATAAGGAAAAAGTGACATGTTTTCCCACAAGCCTGTGAACTGAAATGGAATATTCTTACCATCTATTTAATGAATGCCCTGGGCGGTGGTAGTAGTAGTAGTAGTAGTATATAATCATAATCATAATAATAATAAAAAAAACTGGTGGGATCATAAAATAGAGAAAGTCATAGAAAATGATAAAATTAAACTGCTCTGGGACTTCAGAATTCAAACAGACAAGCACCTGCAACATAACACCCCAGACTTAACAATTGTCGATAAGAAAGACAAAAAAGTCTGGATAATGGACGTGGCAGTGCCTGGAGATAGCAGAATAGAAGAGAAAGAACTGGAGAAGATAACAAAATACAAGACCTACAAATAGAAATAGAAAGACTGTGGCAAAAGCAAGCAAGGGTAGTACCAATAGTGATAGGCTCCTTGGGTGCAATCCCAAAACAACTGGAGCACCACTTGAACACCATTGGCATTGACAAATTCGCTATTAGTCATTTGCAAAAGGCGGCCTTACTAGGAACTGCTTCCATCCTGCGACGATACCTGTAATACCATCAAACCTCCACATCTGCCTATCCCAGGTCCTGGGTAAGGACTCGATAGGTAGACAAAATGCCAAATCCAGTCTGAACATCTGGCTGACTGTGCGATGATCCTCAATAATAATAATAATAATAATAATAATACCTCATTCACATACCAAAATACAATCAATTGACAACACCTGCTGCCAGATCCTTTCTCTCAAGATAAAAAAATAATCATGCCTCAGAATTTTGGAGTTAATCTAAGCTGCTCAACCTTCGCATCATAATGGGATGGTATTACATCAATATAGAGCAGGGGTCTTCAAACGTGGCCCTTTGATGACTTGTGGACTTCGACTCCCAGAATTCCTCAGCCAGGCACACGTTTGGGCCAAGTTTGGGCCAAGTTTGAAGAGCCCTGCTCTAGAGGTTTGGTTCAGACTTCTCCAACTGCAATACTATCAAGCAGCATCTTTCATTGGTAGTTCATAAACCAGAATGAATAAACTTCAGATTGATCTCCTCCCTTTACAACCCAACCAGAATATCCATTTTGAGGAACGAGGGCATCAGAGCTCAAAGTAGCAGGGCCTGTTGTGGGAAAAGCTCTCTCTCTCTCTCTCTCTATATATATATATATATATAGTGGGAAAAGCTCTCTCTCTCTATATATATATATAGTGGGAAAAGCTCTCTCTCTCTCTCTCTCTCTCTCTCTCTCTATATATATATATATATATATATATATATATATATATAAATGTTTTTTTGTTAGCCTCCCGGAGTCCTGCAGGAATGGAGCGGTCTATAAATTTTAATTATATATATATATATTATATATATATATATATATATATATAATATAATATATATATATATATTAAAATTTATAGACCGCCCCATTCCTGCAGGACTCCGGGCGGCTAACAATAAAAACACAATAAAACTTAACAAGACAAACAATACAGTAACATTCATCCAGGGCCGGATTTTATAAACCCCAGGCCTGCCAGAAAAGCCAGGTCTTAAGCAGCTTGCGGAAAACCAACAGGGTGTATACCAGTATTATCCACCCTGGCTATTACCACTACCGTGAGACAGCCCACAAATACAACTGTAGAATCCACAGAGGCGTGTAATCTGAAAACCTGTAACCCACGCAGGTAACTTCAGGTAAGTAGCCTGAAATTAGGATAATGAAGAGAATATGTTATCTACAGACAACATATTAACGCTGAAATTAATAGGATTGCCTCTAGCTGCTTGAAAATGGATATTCCGAAAGTGTTCCTGAAACGAGCAGGAGCTGGATCAACGCTTGATCAATCTGGCCAACGAAAACAAATATGAAAACATTTTAAAAAATGATTGCAGTAGCATTTTCACATGAGGCAGATTGAAAAACAAAATCTAATTGGGAGAACACATCCACCTGCCCCTTAGCTAGCTAGTTCTTCCCAGCAACTCCACATCAATGTTGAAATGCATAGGGCAGGGGTCCCCAGCCACTGGTCCATGGACCGGTACCGGTCCGCGACAGGCCAGCAACCGGTCCACACAAAGAAGCAAAGCCCCATCCGTGGGATGCAGGCAGCACACAAAACCACACACTCTCCGGTCCGTGGAAAAACTCCACAGAACTGGTGGGAAATTCCCAGTTGCAACGTATGGCTGTGAAAGCTGGATCCTAAGAAAGGCTGAGCGCCAAAGAATGGAGGCCTTTGAACTCTGGTGCTGGAGAAGACTCCTACGAGTCCCCTGGACTGCAAGGCGATCCAACTGGTCAGTCCTAGAGGAGATCAATCCCTACTGCTCTTTCGAAGGCCAGATCCTGAAGTTGAAACTCAAGTCCTTTGGCCACCTAAGGAGAAGGAAGGACTCCCTGGAGAAGAGCCTGATGCTGGGAAAGATGGAGGGCAAGAGAAGAAGGGGACAATGACAGAGAAGGTGGTGGCTGGATGGAGTCACTGAAGCAGGAGGCATGAGCTTCAATGGACTCCAGAAGATGGCAGAGGACAGGAAGGCTTGGAGGAACGTTGCCCATGAGGTCGCGATGGATCAGACACGACTTCGCAACTAACAACAACAACAGAACCAAACCTGGTGCCCAAAAGGTTGGCCTAGGAGACAAAAGTCCATTTCCACAAGAAGGCATTCAAGGTAACCCCATCTTGATCTCTGGGAGGGGGCATGAAGAGAGGGCAGGAGGATATTTCGACAAACTTTCATGATTATGTTTTGATGCCCTCCAAGCACAGAGAGTTTCGGTTGTCTTTTGTTGTCTACCTCCAAGGAGCAATCCAGAAAAGGGGAACCAGCACAAAAGAGCCTGGAATCTCAGAAAGATCACAGGATCGATTATATCCAAACCTCCCAAAAGATCAAAAGGAAGCCACAGATCGTACTCCCCAAAACAAGAAAAAGAAATCTAAACGAGAAGAGTTAATAACCTTTTTTGGCAACTAAAGGCCGCATCACTTTTTTTTTTTGTTGTTGTTGGGCAAAGAGGCATTACATGCAGGACTGAGATTTTCCCATTTTTCCTAAATTTTGAGCAAGACGTGCCAGGATTATTTGAAAGCGACACCAGGATTTACGGGACAGGCTTTGCACAATTCAAAATACTGATGATGTAATTGATATCCAGCCAGTCTGGGAAAAAGCAACTCATTTCTACAACAAGGCAGTATTGAATTACAATCGGATGTAGAAAAAATATTCTAGAGCTGCCGGACTGATTATCTTGCCCTACACCAGTGTTTCCCAAACTTGACCATTTTAAGGCATGAGGACTTCAACTCCCAGAATTCCACAGCCAGCAACGCTGGCTGTGGAATTCTGGGAGTTGAAGTCCACATGCCTTAAAATGGTCAAGTTTGGGAAACGCTGCCCTACACAATAAATGGCCCTTACTAATGGCCACCCACCCAATGGCATTTTGAGGGGATTTCACTGAATATTTTGGCCCAATAGTACTGAGTAAAGGGACAAACAATCCAGGAAACCTCTATGCAAACTGCAGGAGTTAAAGACCGACGTAATACGATCCCATCACATTCTTAAAAGTTTGACGGCATGGAAGCACAATTACACTGAACTGTATGCCATTATTTTCTATTAAGCTTGATTAAAGGTCTAATTAGATCAGGAGACACAACAGAACTATAGAAGACAAAATGTTTGTCAATTGGGCCGATGGGCCCAGATATTATTGTTAAACCAGTTTGTTTAGACACACTGACCTACATAAAATCACAGATATATTACTTACTGGAGATGAATAAAACCTAACCCTTATGTATATTGCTGGAATTGTTTAGTCTAGTTTAATGAAGAGAAGGACGAAGGGGGACAGGATAGCAGCCTTCCAGTATCTCAGGGGCTGCCCCCAAAAAGAGGGAGTCAAGCTATTCTCCAAAGTGCCTGAAGGCAGGACTAGAAGCAACAGGTGGAAACTGATCAAGGAGAGAAGCAACCTGGAACTAAGGAGAAAATTCCTGACAGTTAGAACAATTAAGCAGTGGAACAACCTGCCTCCAGAGCAGTGAATGCTCCAACCCAGGAAGTTTTTAAGAAGAGACTGGACAGCCATTTGTCTGAAATGGTATAGGGCAGTGGTTCTCAACCTGTGGGTCGGGACCCCATTTGGGGTCGAATGACCATTTCACGGGGGTCGCCAAACCACGCTGTCCGCCATCTTTTTCCCTAGCTGTCCTACTCCCTCTTACTGGTGGCCACACTCACTTGGGGGTCACCACAACATGGGGAACTGTATTATGGGGTCATGGCATTAGAAAGGTTGAGAACCACTGGTATAGGGTTTCCTGCCTGAGCAGGGGGTTGGACTAGATGACCTCCAAGGTCTCTTCCAATTTTATTATTATTGTTATTATTAATGTATGAATGAAAAAGCCTCATTGTATCCATAAGCTTGCTTATAGCCAAATTAATTCCTGAGGTCAAAATAAAAATTTTGCTCCTAGTATGTATGTATGTACACACACATACATACAAAAGTTTTTTTTAATAAATATTACTTTGATTTCTGCTAAATATAAATTGACAAGTTTCCAGAGATACTAATAGCTTTCCACTACCCTTTATAATAGCATCATACAGCGTGACATTTGGTTATCTTAACATACTTTGTACTATCACTTAAAAGTGCCCTAAAACATGTCATCAAGAGATTGCCCCTGAAGGAACTTTAATCCGTGTCCTTTTCTATGCACTTTATTCAGAGAAACCATTCAGTGTTTAAGGATGCTTCAAATGTTTGAGATTCCATCGCACAAATCAACAGAATTGTATTTCACTGTCAGTTGCATTAAAACTGAAATAGGGATAACACTCTTATGTAACTTGTGTGGGGTTTTTTTTAACAAATCTATTTTAACCTGCTTATTTGCTACTGATACTAGAATTTTTTTTTTTACTGTAATATATTAATGCTGGGAGCCATTTTGAGTGTTTTGGGTTTTTTTAGAAAATGAAGACTCAAACTGTAACAGCTACCAGTAGTAATTCAGAATTAAATCCCATGTTTCCTTTTTATATTATCTAATTTCTAGACAGTTCTTTTGTGCAGAATTCCTAGAGTAACGTATAACAAAATCAAAATTAGAAGGTAAATATAGCTACTAGAAAGCCAGCAAAATATATGAGGATCACATTATGTATTCCTGGGTTTCTGAGTACAGGAGGATGTTTACAATATGGCTGAATATTGTAAATAAAGGTAGCCTAGAGAAAAGTCCATGTTGTATAAACAGGAATGTTACTATAATTAAGAAAAAGCAAACAAAGATATTTCAGTTCGTTGCTTCCTGAATTTCATATTCTAATAATTAGAAACAGGTAATTTCTAATTGTTAATATTATTTGCACCCATCACAAATCATCTTAAGAAAAGTCTGAAATACACTTCAATTATCTGGATTCAGTATTCTGAAAATCAGTCACTGCTGGAGATGTGAATAATGATGATTAAGATCTTTAAAAATCTAACGCTCATTTCTATTCCTACCGTGTAAACAGGCTATACATGATTGTTAAAAATGAAAGGGGAAGCATACGCTTAAGTGGGGGGAGGAATCAGCTTTTTTCAATTACTTCCTTACATGAATATAAAAAAGGTGGAATTCCTTTGGCATATTTTACTTGATAACATTGATCCTTCCCAGCCCTGTTATGAAATCGTCTGGTGGTTTGAGCTGTCTCTGTTTGGGGAGGCAGAAACTAGTCCTGCCTCTGTAAGATTTGATTAGTTCAATGTGATCCATATTATTCCAAGAGGCAAATCAGCAGGAATTGAGACAGTTCGCTAGTGTTCTCTCTCTCTCTCTCTCTCTCTCTCTCTCTCTCTCTCTCTCTCTCCCACTGCCCATCAAACACTATTGCTGCCCAAACTCCACTTCCTTCCATATCCCATCCCTTTCTAGGGATGGGCTTCACTCAGTCGGAAGGCTGGTAGCTTAGATATACCTGAATGACTGTATGCCAGGGGTCTTCAAACTTGGCCCTTTTAGGACTTGTGGACTTCAACTCCCAGAATTCCTCAGCCAGGCATTCTGGGAGTCCACGTCCTAAAAGAGCCAAGTTTGAAGACCCGTTGTAGGCTTTCAACTCCATATGCTGAAAAGAAGCCCAAACGCATCATCATCATCATCATATAACAAAATACAAAGACCTACAAATAGAAATAGAAAGACTGTGGCAAAAGCAAGCAAGGGTAGTACCAACAGTCATAGGCTCCTTGCGTGCAATCCCAAAACAACTGGAGCACCACTTGAACCCCATTGGCATTGACAAATTCGCCATTAGTCAATTGCAAAAGACGGCCTTACTAGGAACTGCTTCCATCCTGCACCGATACCTGTAATACCATTAAACATCCACATCTGCCTATCCCAGGTCCTGGGTAAGGACTCGATAGGTAAACAAAATGCCAAATCCAGTCTGAACATCTGGCTGACTGTGCGATGATGATGATAATGATAATAATAAGTTGATACTGTCATCATCCAGTCCTTTCTCCTATCCCCACTTCTGAGCCTTTTTATTCCTAACAATTCCATTTTTAATCAAGTGAGGCTCAATTCTTTAGAACCCTAAAGTTTGTTATCTATTGTTGGTTGGTAGTAAATGTACCTTTCTAGCTAAAGAGCAAGGGAAAAAAATGTTTTAGAATAGATACATACATCTTGAACATTAGTTCCCAACCTTGGCAACTTTAAGACCTGTGGACTTCAGCACGGTTGGCTGGGGGATTCTGGGAGTTGAAGTCCACAGGTCTTAAAAGCTGCCAAGGTTGGAACCCCCCCCTCCACCCCCCACCCCCCCCCCCCGTAGGTGATTGCTGTGCAACTCCAGATAGTTTTAGACGACCAGTTGCTAAATACATTTAAATCTCATGTATGGTTTTGGGGGAGGACTCCAGCTGTAACAATGTCCCTTGGGAGACAGCGCCATCACAACCTATTAGTTCTGCAGAACATGATCATTAAAAGCAGCCTTTGGAGGTGAAGGTGACTGGACTGCAGAAATGCCATTATCATGTGAATTATCAGCTTCAGAAAGCTGCACCAGGGATCCATCGCTGTGACCCTCAGCAGAGACGCTAATGGTTTCCAGAGCAGTAATTTCAGAGTCTCAAGGCCCTCAACTGGGGAGGAATTCCCAGGTGAATTGGGGTACCTCGGATTTAGAGGACAGATAGGCTAATAACAAGTTTCCTTTCCATAAAAACACGAAAGGCCAAAAAGGCTTTTCAGACCAGCCATCTCCCCCCCCCCACACACAAAGCATTACACAGCCGAGTCCGACAGCACTGTGACAAACACAATTAATTTGCTATTTCATTATTAAGAGGATAATAGTCGTTAAGGTTTGTTTTTAACTTTTTCTGTTTCGGCTTAGATGTAACTCTAAGCCTGCCAGCATTCCACTATGGCAAGATGGGCGGCCAATGAATTTTATGAATAAACAAATAAAATGAGTACACTCAGTTGTAGCAGAGTGAGAACGGGGGGGGGGGGGGTGTCTGGTCCCACCTTAGCCGTAAAAGGCAGCTGGGCGACTTTGGGGCAATCGCCAGGCGGCTGCGAGTTCTAGTCCTGCCATAGCCACAAAAGCCATCTGGGCGACTTTGGGCCTGGGCCAATCGCCGGGTGCTGGGAGTCTAGTCCCGCCTTAGCCGTGAAAGCCATCTGGGCGACTTTGGGCCAACCGCCAGGAGACGGTGAGTTCTAGTCCTGCCTTAGGCACGAAAGACAACTGGAGGTCTTTGGGCCGGCCCTTCTCCCTCAGCCTTGCCCACCTCACAGGGTTGTTGTTGTAGAGAAGAGAAGCATTACCCCTCTCTGCAGATTAGATAAGAGTTAGATATACATACAAGATAGATAGATAGAGACAGATGACAGATTATAGAAATGGATGGACAGATGGAGATAGATGATAGATATATATACAAGATAGATAGATATAGATAATATAGACAGTTGATAGATTATGGAAATGGACAGATGGAGATAGATAGATAGATAGATAGATAGATAGATAGATAGAGACAGATATAGATTATGGAAACGGACAGGTGGGAGATAGATGATAGAGATAGATAGATAGATAGATAGATAGATAGATAGATAGATAGATAGATAGATAGATAGATATACATACATACAAGATAGAGATAGATATAGACAGATGATAGATTATGGAAATGGACAGATGGAGATAGATGATAGAGATAGATAGATATAATAAAAGATATAGATGATAAATAGATATAAATAGATAGATTATGGAAATGGATGGACAGATGGAGAGATGATAGATAGATGATAGATATAATACAAGATAGAGATAGATATGAGAGACATAATAGAGATAGAGATGATAAACACATAGAAGAGAGAAATGATAGACAGATAGATAGATAGATAAAGGTGGGGCGAGGGGGCTGAACGCCCCCCTTCACAACAGCCCCGGAGCCTCCTTCTTCCCCCTCCCCGCCTTCCCCTCCGCCCAGTCCAGCCTCGGCGTGGAGACCCTCCTTCTGGGGGGGGGTCCTCCCACTCGAGAGCCCCGAGGCGGGGGGGGGGAACAGCCTCGCCCTCCCTCCCTCCCTGCCCGCCAAGGGGGCGAGGCGGCGCGCGGCCCCTTCCAGGCTCCGAGGGGAGACAATGGGGCGGGGCGGGCACCCACCTTGAGCGTGGGGTACTCCTGCACCTTCAGCGTCATGGAGAGCTGCGCCGCCGACTCCTGCACCGCCATCTTGGGCCGAGCGCCGCCGCCGCCGCCGCGGCAACAGCGCCGCGTCCGGCCTCTCCCGGCAGCCCCCGCGGCCGTCGCGCGCCGCTTCCGCCTCCCCGCCGCTCCCCTCCGCCCCCGCCCCCCCTCACGCCCGTCCGCGTCCTTCCGACAGGAGACGCCTCACCCGCGCGGAGGTGGAGAAAGCCGCCGAACACCGCTGCTCCCCCCCTTCTTCTCGAGCCCGAGTGGTAGGCTCCGTTTGGGACCCGCCAGCCAATGGGACGGCTCGTCGGAGGAGGAGGACAGCCCGAGAAGCCGTTGCGAGCGCCGGCGTGATTGGACGAGAGGGAGGGGCGGGGTTTTAAAGCCACGGGCGGAGGCTGCTGACTTCGGACCGAACCACTGCACGAGGGTGGAGAGGGGGGGCGTCCTCCTGTCGGCCAATCCGAGCTAGAGCATGGAGAGAGTGGGCGTGGCTTGGGAAGGGATCGCAAGGCGGCTTTTTCAACTCGGCCCGAAGGGATCGAGCAGATCCCGCCGCGCTGCGGGGCTCCGCTCCTCGGCTTTCTCCGCCTAAAGCCGGCTTCCTCCAAAACCCTTAGCCTGCATCTTGAGTTTATTGTGTTTTCTTTCCCCTGGGTTCACACGACTGCCTTCACCTGCTTTGCGGGGTTCCCCCCCCCATTTTTCCCCCTGAATTCGCACACAATTTCTTTTACCAGGCAGCCCTCGACTTGTGACCACTATGCAGCCCTACATTTCTGTGGCTAAGGGAGACATTTTGTTTTGCCCCATTTAACGACCGTTGTTAAGTGAATCACTGCAGTAGTCACCCAGTTGTTAAGTGAATCTGGCTTCCCCCATTGACTTTGATGGTCAGGAGGTCGCAAAAGGGGACCATGGGACGCTGCAACCGTCATAAGTACGAGCCAGGGGCCAAGCCTCTGAATTTGGACCACGGAGACTGGGGAGGCTGCAACGGTCGTAACTCTGAGCAACGGTCATCAGTATCATTTTTCGGTGCCGTCATAATGTTGAACGGTCACTAAATGAGGTAAGCCGAGGACCAGCTGTATTCTGATACCTATCACGATGGCTTTAGTCTCCATAGGAATTTTGGCAGTCGGTTTTCACAGTTCTGGGTGTTAATCCCATTAGCTGGCTTTTTCAGGAAGGATTTCAGCCTATTCCTATTACTTTCAGCCTATTCCCTAACGCTAAACCCTAACCCCAGGACGTTTATGTGTGGGTGTGGGTGTGTACATAGCCTCCACATTGCTGCGGACTGCCAGCAACTGCCTGGACAAGGCAGGGTTGTTGGGGGGTTTTTTGAAAACAATTTTTCAGAAGTGCTTTTGCCATTGCCTCCCTCCCAGGGCCCAAGGACACTCAGCCATCTGAAGTCAGCTTAGAGCTCACGGTGCCCTAACCACTACACCAGTGGTTCTCAACCTTTTTAATGCCGCGACCCCCAACCGGTCGTAAGTCGAGGACTACTCAACCGGTCGTAAATCGAGGACTACTCAACTGGTGCAGCACCGTTTGCAGAATGGGACTTTTGGTGGGCTCAGCAGGGCAGAGACAGCCTGGACAATTCCTATTGGCTTTCAAAAGCCAATAGAATAAAAGGGAGTAGCACAGCTAAGGAAAAGGGGAAAAAAATGGCAGACTGCGTTATTTGGCGACCCCCGTGAAATGGTCGTTCGACCCCAAATGGGGTCCCGACCCACAGGTTGAGAACCACTGCACTACACCAAACTGTCTCACTACACAGATCTATGCCTGGAAAAATAAAGATCTCATAGGGTAGCTTTAAGCCAGTTCGCTTTAAAAACCAGATGTGGGATGCTTTAACCTCAGGGCTGGGGGACAATGGTCCTTTTACGATCTGTGAACTTCAACTCCCAGCATTCCTGAGCCAGCCATGGCTGGCTCAGGAATGCTGGGAGTTGAAGTTCACAGATCGTAAAAGGGCCATAGTCCCCCAGCTGCTTTACCTGAACAATTCCTCAGGTGGAACTCCCATTCCAGGTATTTTCCTTCTGATCTTCCAAACTAAGCCCAGATGTTGTTTCCCCAAAGTACACAAACCTGCTCCTCTGTGTGGCTCTTTGCCAGCCATCCTCTGCCACCTGATGGCATTTTCGAATTAAACCACTGCGCTGAAGTGTAAGGAGAGGAACTTAAGATCTTGAGGTACGTTAATACTTCAAACATTTTTAACAAGTCCTGCCATGCGGACCTTGCTTCTCCTAGTGTGCAAATAAATACCAATAAATAAAATGTTCCTAGTCTTTTATCATCGTTTTACCAATTTACCGATTACTGCCATAGAAGAATTCTAGTAAATCTATATAATCTAAATAACTTAGATAGTTGTGTGTGAAAACTAATAATATTCCATTCCTAGAAACCAGCACAATAAGGCGAGAAAACATCCCTTTGATAAAGAATCAAACCTTTTAAGCCTGGCAAATAAAAACAGATTTGGTGGTAAAATTACAATGAGAAAAGACCATTCTATTTCCTGGAAATTAAAACATGATTAAAACATTTGCCTGGTTACATTTTCTAGATTTTTGAATAAACTTTGAAAAGTCACATTGATAGAGAAGAACACCAGAGGGAGCTACAGGCTCCCAAAAGTCAGAATGGCTTTTTAAAAACAGCTTTCTTTTAGTTTATACAAAATTGTCTCACTTTAGACAGGGTGTTTTAAATAATAGCTGGTTGAAAAGCCATTGTGGAGTTTATAATTCATGCTGTGCCATTAATCATGATTAAAGAACCAGAATGGCTGAATATGCATTAAGCCACAGCCAAGTAAACAGTATTATAGCTAGTACAGAACTGCCTTACTCCAAACTGTGATTTTTTACTAGTTCAGTTTTTAACTTGAGGAGGATTTCATGTCTTTAATAATCCAGGGTTGTTGTTACGGGAAAAGATAGACAAAGAGACCCGCTAGATACGTTGCATCGAATTCCTGAACAAAATGCAAGCTGTCAGTCTAATACATATTGTATTTTATCCTGATTTTAGCCTGGTCACACCATCCATTACTATATGGTATGATATGGTATCATGTGTCAGTTTGTGTAGGAGAAGGAGGGACACAGCCAGGGTTAAATGACTTTCATGGTGTCTATTGATCTCATCTATTGATTAGAATAAAAGGAGGTACAATTTAAATTATAAACTAATAGTTGCAGAATCCAGCTATGATAGCTACTTTGAGGTTGGGATCTGCACAATTAAGTCCCTTTGCAGGTAATTATTCTTTGGTTTTCCTGCTCAGTAATCTGGAAACCGTGTCCATAAATGGTTTGGTTGCATCCGTAGGCCAAGTATTTCACCGTTAATTGTCAGATAACTCAGCAACATTTCTGGCTGCTTTTAGGAAAGAAAAGCTGCTGCATTTTAAGCCGTCCTCATTTTGTTAACTCAAAAGCATCCAAGGCAAACAACTCTTGAGAATTTCAAGCCGGAACACAGAGGCAGATTTGCAAGACTTTTGCTATGTTTAGAAACGAAACAATCACGGAGTAAATTAGTTTCCCTGGCAACCGATTTGTTTCCCCAATTTGGCCAGGCCTTGAATAAAGAGAGCAGCATAATGGGAATTATAAGAATTTTAATTACATCGCTCAATACGGGTTAACATCTAGCGTTCCTGGGTTGGTTAAAAAAAAAAAATGATATGAATTGCTTTCGGAGCGCTTCTGCTATAAATATGCTAAACAAGATATCGCATTATTGATTTCTCCATAAAAGCGGGGCCCATAAATATTTAATGAACATCAAGAAGACGTCTTGCCAGGCGTGTCAACTTTTATTTTCTTGACATTTTCACGGAACGTGTTAACTCCTCACTCCTCAATACAGTGTGCTATTCAACCTTGGATGGGGAAGATTTGGTAATGATGTAAGGCACGGAAGGCTATGCAAAGTTTTATATCCCAATCTATTTTATTCTTTACGCTGTTTCCCTCTTCCCTTAAAATACTAACAGAATCCACAATGGTCTTGAGAATCGGTGTCTTCACTAGATAATTGACAGTCAAGCTGAAATTGAGTGATCAACTTCCTCAAACCCCCCAAATAAGTTATCAATCCACATATCAAAGGATAAGGTCTGCAAAACACAAACAGAGTTAATTAAATTACGGTAGGTCTGCCAGAGGAACTGTATATCCACAAGAATAAACATACCTACACACACACACACACACAAACACACACACACCTCAAGTGTCACCCTAGAATCAGCATATAGATACTTCAAGCTCCCCTATAAACATCTGCTGTTCCCCATTTCTTTGCAGCCTGCCCCTAAAGGCAAAAAATGTTTGGCTTTTAGGAATAAATATTTCTTCTTTCCTCACCGCTGCCTGGATCTCATTTTTATTTATTCTTGCGCAGCCCCGGCTCCAGTTGGAACCCCAAAATTATTCTTCTGACAAGGCCGAGCTTACCAATTAGAAAAGGAAACACAAAATCAAAAGTCATAAAGCGATCGGCAAATTTTGTTTTGTTTTGCTTTTTTAAAAAAACAACCTTTCCTTGTGTTCACTAGTGTAGAAAAACAATTTTGCAACACACCATTTTATTCAGGAAGTGCCCTCTGCTGAGATTGGAGTACATATGTGATTCATTGGGGGGGGCAAAAAACATGAAATCTAGACAGAATTTATGATTCTCTGGATTGGAAAAACCTTACAAATTACTTGGGATTTGTTGCATTTTGTGAATATGTCAGGAGGCAATAAAATTAACATAAAAACGGTTGGATGCTGGCTCCTGACGAACAGACAGGAACAATCCTAAGCTGCTTTGATGTTCTAAAATTCGATTCTAGAGAAATACACAAGTAGAGCTCAAATTAGGCCAAAATTGGATTTCCACAGATAAGCAAGACAACCTTTTTTTGCCACAGTTGTTAAGAATAACTGCATTTGTTAAGTGAATTGGGCTTCCCCCACTGACTGTGCTTGTCGAAAGCCAGCTGGGAAGATCGCAAATGGGGATCACGTGATCCCAGGACAGTGCAACTGTCGTAAGTACAAGTCAGTTGCCAAATGT